TCTCTGTGCGATGGCTACTAGTTCTTTCCTAAGATCAATTAAATTATGATCTTGTAAGTTTACTGTATCCACGCAGTCTATAATCGCTTTCTGTACGTAAAGATAAGGTAATGAAAGAATATTTCGTGATGAGACTAGAATAAAATGAAGACTGAATCACCTTCAATATCCATACACTTGTCAGCACTCTAATAAGATCCTGTATTTTTATTGTAACTGGCACTTCAAAGAACCTTTCTCGTTTTAATATTGACACGTATTCCCTAGGACTACTCAGATATAGCACTTGTATTTTAAGACCTATTGTAATTCAAGTTAACTCAGTTTATTAATTGCCATAATAAAAAATTCCTTACTTGACTACTTAAGTGAAGCATGCCAGTTAAGAATAAATATTTTGCACCAATAAAATTTTTTATTTAAAACTTTTCGACCTCTTTTGAAATACATCATTACTGTTTTGATTCCGGAATTTCTTTCCTGATTTTGATATTGATGATATTACTTTTATATAGGGAAACTGTGGGGATTGGTTTCATTAAATTATATGACGTTTATTAAGTTGAGAGACTAGTTGTTGAATTGGCTTCTTGTCCCAAAAAGATAATTCCTGACTTGACGTTGATGATACCTCTTTACAGAATGGTCGTGGAGAACGGTTTCGTCAAATTTCACGATGTCTACGAGATGATATATTGGTATTTCACACTTGAACAAACTAAATTACCAAATAATGATTCGTTGGTGAATAGATTAGTAAAATGAATGAATGATCGATTACTGTCGCAAAGTGTCTCTCACCATTCCTTCGTTACAATTCCCTGCACATCAACTAACAAGATGATCTGGTATCTAAAAAATAAGACTTTTATCACCTTACATTGTGGTCTCGAAGATATTCAAAATACTGGTCCCAAAATAAATCTCACGGAATCTGTTTTTTTTGCGTTTCTCCTCAACAAGGAGCCAAGTTTGGTCATTTTATATGGTTAATTATATGTGGTATAATAAATGATTTACAAAAACCACACTCTCGCCACCATATGGTTGAGCGAAATATGTGGCTTACCTTTGTGCGTGAATGGTTTACCGCCATATGGCTAAGCAAAGTCATTTCACGCACACTTCTGCTGGTCTGATCAACATATGTTTAAACCAGCCGGCAGGCGAATACGAAGAAGAGGTCACGTCCATATGGTCTCTCCTTCGCACTTCCAGTACGTCCGCCGTTCATATGAACCGTCACGAGCGTATGGGAAATCGCGCTGTGTTTTGATCGTATCTGAATAAAAAATACTTTGTGTTCAGAGTTTTGAAGGGTTATTTGTTAAAAATGTTTACCAATCAAACTGCATTATCTTG